AACGTCGCAGGTTGCGAAGTTTAACTTCTCCCTCGCGGAGGGACTCCATGCACTATTTTTTTTTTACTTCCCTTTTTTATTTTTGTAATAATTAACTGTTCTGTGATGAAAAGTTAAGTAAATATTAGTAGTTTAGTATAGTTTGAAATATGTTGATTTTAACTCTGTTAAAAGATGCATACACCCACTAAAATAATGAATGGTGTTTACCGTATTGAAATAATATTCTGACATATTTACTAATTTAATTCCCTTTAATTGATAAGATCTTCTATTTTCAATCGACTCTACTCTCCATTTAATTTGAATAATATTGCCCATTTCGCTGTACATGTTTATTAATAATTTATTTAAACAAATATTTTTTACAAACATTTCTCACTTGCAATAATTTAAGCTTTCCATATTTTTGTTAATAATTGTCTTTAAATATATAGGACCTATAGGCAACCACAAATAACACAGGTTATCCGGTGCAATAAAATTATGATGGCTTCTCTCCCGTATGTGGAGAAACACAAAAAGTATTGTAGCTAAAATCACTCTTTCAAAAATCCTATGGGATGTCCAATTTCATGGGTAGACAACGCTGTGAAAAAGCTGGACTAGTTGCCATGGATAGGAAATGTTGGAAATTGCCGTAGCTGAAACGGCCAAGGGCTGTTGTGCTCATAAAGAAGAATTGTCTTTCAAATTCTAAATTAATCTGCTAACTACAGATAATTAAAGCATCGTCATTTGGCATTATAACAGCAGACCAGTTTTCAAGGTTTATAGCATCCTTAAAACATTTAAAATTTCGCATTCGTGATTCTGACTTGTAAATTTCATTGGTATGTGTTTCACTTTTTGCTCTCTGATTAAAAATTAAACGGAAGAAGGCAAATTATGTTAATTCTTATCTACTATACTTAAAATAGAAATATATTTTTTATTTCATCAGCAACAATTTTATCTTGGGGCCCCAGTTGGGCTCATAATGGGTCCTATATGAAAATACTCCGAAAGACCAATATTGGAATGTCTAGATTTTTCATTATTGGTCCTATATAGGGACTATATTAGCTGAATAATGAATATAAAATATCGGGAGAATCTGGCAGTTCTATGTAGGTCCGATATTGGTTGTAAGGTGGCTGTAAACGAGTGAGTCGTACAATTCTATATAGGGTAATATCTTAAAATATCGATCCTTTGAACCCTTATTGAGCCAAGATTCGTGAATACTAGTCCAATGAGAGTCCAAATTATTTTGCTGCTAGGGATCATTTTATTTCTTCATCGAATTTTATTGAATAGTAAAAACCTCATTATCAAAGAATTGAAGGTATTTTCATCTATTGAGGCTTACAAGACTTACTTTTTAATAAATGAAAAATATTGGTTTAGTTTTTTAAAATTGCGTTTATAACCCCTTTACTCGAGCAAGCGTTTAGTTTGTATATTATAAAATAACAATCATGCATACATTTCATCCTTGGAAACTTAAACCAAATTGAATATTCATGTCTTAAATTTTAAGTATGTCTAAAAATTTTAACAAATTTTTTGAAGACAATTTAAATGAAAAATGAGTCAATCATTCGATGCAAACTCAAAACTAAAGCATTTAAAAAAATGTGTGCTGCGTCTTTAACTTATTACATGCTGTGAGAGATGGTGTTTACATTAACTGTGGCTTACAAGAGCTTAGTTCTCAAATATTTTTAATTAAAAAAATTTTCTTCGACTTTTGGAGATGCATTAACACAAGTATAATTTTAGTTTGCATTATACTATAAAAAAATATTTCATATACTTTTTATTTTTCAGGCTCTAACACATGTTTCCTCCCTTAAAACTGAAACCAATTTGCGCATTCACATCTTATAACTAAAATGTGTCGAAATTTAAATTTAAAACAAGACAAAAAATTTTACATTACCATATATATATATATATATATATATATTGTATACTGCTAAAATTTGTTAAATAGTGAAATGTACTGAATGATATGGAAAATAAAGATGAAACAAATATGAGGAATGCATTTATTAATGATATGACATTTATGCTAGTTTGATGTGCTATAAATAATTGTGAATAGACATGCAGTTTAAGATGTATTTGAGCACTTTATATGACTTGTGACATATTGTACTTTATGTACACGATGACTATTTTCAACATATTTCTTTTTATTAAACAAATCGTACTTTGGCTCTCAGTCCTTTTCCTTCCATTTCATCATCTGCAGCTATTAGAATAATGAATGTTCCTCCCCGAGATGTCATTTTGGTACCTGGTTCTATGTCTGTTCCACAGTAGCTGAAAGTAATTATTAGAATTTTATTATTATTTTTTTAATATCAAGTAAAGGGAGGATAAGTAGACGTCAGGTATTGTATTGTGAAGCAGGATGAATGTGGATTAATTAGCCGCTTCTGGTATGCAGCAACTTGTAAATGAAGTACTGTTAAGTTGCACAAAACACAAAGCTTTATTGTTGCAGGAGTAATTTTAAATCCTAGCGTAGGTTTCACACTTAGCGCAACTTTGAAAAACATCGCAAATGACGCTTGTCGCCAAACTGTTGCCAATGCCGAAACGACTTTCTCACGCTTGTTGCTAAGAACTAGCGTGGAAAAAAATATAGAAAATAGTAACTTGAAAATGGCAAGTACATAAACATACCTTGAAAAAAAGCTTATAAATAAAAGAAAAGCAGTTACCCACTGATTCTCGCCAAATCTACAACTATAGATTGCTGACTTTATCACCTTCAAAACATTACTAATCTCGCCAAATCCGCCGTATAAAACCACCGTTTTTTAAAACGCAATAAAATTTCCCGGGTTGTCTTATATTTGGAGAAACACTTTGGGTTATCGCCAAGTTAGTCGCTGTGATGGGTGATGTTTAATTTATGACAACCCGAGTATTTTACTGTACCTGTTTTAATTACGTTTTTGTGTTTATATATATTTTTGTAATGTTTATGTATATTTTTTTATGTGTTTTAATTATATTTTATTGAATTTTGTTTTCGGTGATATTTTGTTGACAAGTAAGCATGAGTGCCGAAAAAAATAAATAAAAGGATCCGAGCGTTATCGCCCGCCAAGCGCCGTGTGAAGCGTGGAGATGGCGAGTTCGTATCCTGGTCGTAACCCTGGATGTATTTGTTAGGTCCGCTTATAAATTGTTCTATCTATCCTTCTACATGACGAAGGGTCCCCCTGCTCGCTAACGCTCGCCAACCTCCGAGAATTGCTACGCAATCCTATGTGGTTCACGCCTTGAACCATGGCGCGCTGCGCTCGCTCGCCAATGAACACAATGTTCTAGCACAAAGAAAATAAATATTATCATCTAAGACATAGTATTTTATCATCAAAGACATAGTATTTTATCATCAAAGACATAGTATTGTACTTATGTAGATGAATTCTACCAATGTTCTTATTGGCTTTTAAAAAAGTATATTAGCTATTTAGATTGTACATGGTGAAAAAATCAAAACATTAGCTAAATAAGAAACATATTAGCAAAATAAATTATCAAATATTGCTTCACTAATATTCTGCATTTTAAAGCGTGAAAATT